GCATCCTCCAGGGTTCTGTTCATGCGCTCTGTCTGACCATCAGTTTCAGGGTGGTAGGCTGTAGAGAGTCGAATCTGAGTGCCCAGCAGTTGAAACAGTGCAGTCCAGAAGTTGCTGAGGAATTGTGTATCTCTGTCACTGATTATGGCTGAGGGCAGTCCGTGTAGCCTCACCACGTGTGTGAAAAACAGCTTGGCATTTTCAGCAGCAGTCACCGTGCCAATTGTAGGGATGAAGTGAGCCATCTTGGACAGCTTATCAATCACCACGAGAATGCTATCAAAGCCTGTAGGGGTGCGGGGTAGATCTGTGATAAAATCCAGAGAAACACAAGTCCAGGGGGCTGTGGGTATCTCCAATGGTTGCAGCAAACCAGCCGGTGCAGTGGTGCGAGCCTTGTTGACCTGACAGGTAGGGCATGAAGCGACGTACTCAGCTACACTCCGGGACAGTCCAGGCCAGTAGTAGTCATGAGAAATGGCAGCATACGTCTTGTCACTGCCAAAGTGTGACCGGTTGTCATGGTACTCGTGTAATAGCAGTTGGCGAAGCCTGGAGTCATCAGGTACACAAACAGCACCAGAATCTGCACGGGTCCAAAAAGGGTTGCTGAAAAGGAAGGATGGGTCATGAGAGGCTTTCTGTTGGTACAGCTGATCACGGTTGTAACCACGGCTGAAACGAGTGATGAAGTTGCGGTCCCATGTAACCACTCCCATGACATTCACCTCCTCTGCTGCTGGTCGTGACAGAACATCCGCCGGATTGAAGCGCCCTGGTTTGTACACAATCTGTAGGTTGGAGACATACTGCTCCAGAAACTGAACCCACCGTGCCTGCCGTGGTGTGATCTGTGACTGTGTTTTCAAGTACTCCAGAGTTCGGTGATCAGTGAAGACCGTGACGGGCTGCATCTCTACATAACAGCGCCACTTCTTCAATGCATGCACCACAGCAAGTGCCTCTCTCTCGTGAATGGGGTATGCTTGCTCTGCAGCAGTCAGCTTCCCTGACTCGAAGGCTATTGGCTGCAGCCCAGCTTCCTGCTCCTGACAGAGAATTGCTCCAAGGGCAATTTCTGATGCATCACACCAAATGAAGTACGGAAGTTCTGGATTCGGTACTGCTAGGGCAGGGGGTGAAGTAAGGCAAGTCTTGAGCTGCTCAAAAGCTTGCTGCTGCAAAGGTTCCCAACTGAATGATGAGTCCTTCCGTAAGAGATCAGTCAGAGGTGCTGCCACTGCTGCAAACCCCTTCACAAACCGCCGGTAGTAGTTAGCTAACCCCAAGAATGACTGCACCTCCTTCACTGTACTCGGCTGCTTCCACTGCTTCAGCACTGCTACCTTGCTGTTGTCGACCTCCAGCTTCCCATGAGAAATAAAATGACCCAGAAATGGCAGCTTCGTTTTGGCAAACTCACACTTGGAACGCTTGGCATACAATCTGTGCTCACTCAGTCGTGCAAGGACCAGCTCAAGGTGTTTCAGGTGTTCCTCACGAGTGCGACTGTAAACCAGCAAGTCATCAATGAAAATCACCAGAAACTTGTCAATGAAATCACTGAAAATGCTCTGCATCATGCCTTGGAAGGTGGCTGGAGCGTTGGTGAGACCAAAGGGCAACACTCGAAACTCATAGTGACCGTACCGTATTCGGAAAGCTGTTTTGGGGATGTCCTCACTCTGAATCCGCACCTGATGATACCCCGAACGTAAATCCAGCTTCGAGAAGTACCGTGCCTCACCAACTTGCTCGAACAGTTCATCTATCCGTGGCAGTGGGTACCGGTTCTTCACTGTTATCTTGTTCAGCCCACGGTAATCTACACACATCCGCAGAGAACCATCCTTCTTCCGCACGAACAGCACCGGAGAAGCATATGGAGAGGAGCTAGGCTGAATGAATTCCTTGGCTAACAGGTCCTCTAACTGCTTCTTCAACTCCTTCAGCTCCACTGCACTCATCTTGTAGGTTGGTCGAACAGGTGGGGTAGATCCAGGAATCAGCTCTATCCTATGATCTGCAACTCGCTTAGGAGGAAGGCCAGCTGGTAAGTCCTTCGGAAACACCCCTGAAATTTTTTCCAGCAGCTTCTCCACACCCCATGTCAGTTCCTTATCCTCATGTGATGCTGAAACCGTTGGTATTGCTGCTTCAGGCGATGTAGGCTGAACCTCTGTGATGAGACCTAGAAAAACTGCTTCCTCCCCCCGAATGGCCTTACCAAACTGCTTCGCACTAATCAGCTGCAAGGTCATCTCCTCCTGCTGCTGCACCACTGGTAGGCATACAGATCTTCCCCCAAACAGCACCTTCACCTCCCTAGTTCTCCAATCCACCTGAGGGTTCACTGCTGCCAACCAGTTTCTGCCCAATATGATGTCATGACTGTCAAGCCAAATCTGTTGAAATGAAATCTTCCCATGAAACTCCCCTATGTTACAGCTGACCGGGTACAACTCAGGTCCACAGCTTCTCACCACACCATCCGCCATGCGCACCGTACTCTCCACTGTACCGCTCTGCACAGGTAACTTCAATTCATGCACCAGCCGAGAAGAAATGAAATTGGATGAAGCACCACTATCCAGCAACATCTTTACCTCCTTACCACGAATCTGCCCCCGAAGTATTATTGCTCCCTCCGACTCCTGCTGCAGCGGCGTTGAGGATGGAGTCAGCAAGGTGGGGCACTCCTCACCACCAGCAACTCGCCCCGAGGTTACTGGTGAGGCTTGTTTCCCGGCTGCCTAGGCTTGGTAGGGCAGTTGAGTGCTTTGTGACCGCGTTTCCCACACTTGAAGCAATTTCCAGCAAAGCCCTTTCGCTTCTCCTTGTTCTTATCAATCGTATCCAGCTCCATCGGCATAGGTCCTGCACCACCACGCTGCTCCCCATGGATAGGCTGGAACATGTTCGGACTGAACCGCATCCCACGGTTGAAACGGTTACGACGGTTACCGAAGTGAATCTCATCGTAACGTTCAGCGACACGTGCCATCTCCTCAAACGAACTACAGCCCTGCACCTCTACCTCCATCCTAACATCGTCTTTCAACCCGCGCTTAAACTTGTCCAGCGCCTCAGCCGTTGAAAGGTCTGAAATTTCGGTGGAGATGTCACGAAATTCAGCGACGTAATCTGCTACAGAAGTATGCTGCCGCAGATTTGCAAGACGATCACGCGCCCTTGCCATCGCGTTGATAGGATCGTATGCCGCAACGAGAGCTTCCTTGAATTGCTGCCAGGTTTGGATAGCAGGTCGCACCGATTGCCACCATGCAACCGCAGAGCCTCTGAGTAGGGTCCCGGCGAACGGTGCCCACTCTTCACCAGCCACGTGACTTAAGCGTAGATATTCTTCCACAAGGAAGAGACATCGTCGAACCACCGGTTGTCCTTTCCCTGGAACAAAGGTGTCCGGCATCGATGCTCTCACATGGGAAAGAGATCCCACTATGCTTCCCGGAGTTGTAGCTACTCCTTGCTGTGCAGCTGCGTTCTGCAGGGCAGCCTGCACTTCCTTAGCTACGAGCTCTCGAACCGCGGCATCACGCTCTGAATCGGCCATGGTGCCAAAAATCTCCCGGCAGCAACTCACGAGGGAAAAAACAGGCTCGGATACCAAGTGGAACAAGCTCAACGGCTCTTGGGCTTGTTCTAGTGTTTCTGGCTGAGAATTTCACTCAAAGGGTTTTTCCTTAGAAGCCAGGAAGAACAAACAGAAAGAGAAAACAGCAACTTCTACTCTAATTCCTACGAGTGCATTTTTATATGTACAGCACATACATTTCAGAAATGCGGCTCGGAATGTCGATTCGGGTGGCCAGCCCCGACATCGAGTCGCATTATCCTTTTCCACATTTGTAACTCACTGCTATCATACACGTGTCCTTTTCTAACTCTTCGATATTGTTCCCTCGCCACCTGTCCCACGCGGAAGTCTTCCCAAGTCAGTCAAGGCACGAATCCTCAGTTTCGCACTTCTCACGTGGGTCCCCCACGTCCTGCTCACTTCCGCCCCCTTGCTGCCCACGTCCGCAGCTGCACGCTGCTGCTACATGCTTTCACCTCCCGTGCGCTTCACGCTGCCTCCAGAGCAGACCCCACTTGCACTCAACCCTCGACATGCAAGCCCTAACTCACGATATGTGCCTCAACCTACCTTTAAAAGACTGCAGATTCCTCTGAGCCATGCCCTTGCCTTGCTCAGACCGCCTAGCACCCACCTCGCACTTTGCAACTTCAGCTTCAACCTCCACGTCTACAGATCATCCTGGTGCTAGGATTAACTTCAATATAGATTCAGCGACGACGTGAAAGCCTTCAGTTTAATGCTTGGACTCCAGACGTAACGGCCGGGGCACGTGATGTGGGTGTCGCAAACCAAAGCCCCCGTGGCTCGTGAGAGCGAGCCGTGAAGCTCGAAACAGCTACAGCATCACGATTCGCGAGGAGCAGACATCGAGAAAAAATCTCGTCGAAACGCTCGAATATCGCTGGTACTATGCAGTGAAAGTACCAAGTCTGTTCGACCTCTCCGAATGCTAGTGATCCTAACGCAACTCCTGATCCTTTGATACGCTGGTGACTTTTGGCGCGAAAAAAACAAAGGTCCGCGTCCCAATGGCACACGAAGTGCTAGTGAATGGCACAGCACGAAACATGAGAGTGAGAAAACGAAAGCACAGTTGCAACTGTGAAGTGAAAGCAGTGGATTTAGATGGCGATGGCTTTCCTCCTGGCGTGCCTAGATTGCAAAAGCTAGCCATTCTCGTCTGAACTGAATTGACACGGACCGAACCTCGAAGTGTGCGCGCCTGACATAGATGTGTGATTTCAAAATGGCGGGAAACCTTGGTTTCAGTCTTCAGACTCACACTGCAAGCAGCACATTTGAATTGTGCTGCTGTGCCTTTTTTCTTCACTGATTGTGCTCCAACTGAATCTATTGGCTTATTTACTTGTGGCAGTTAGGGCGAAAACAAGATCAGTGTTTAGTCGGAAGGGTCCATGAAGAAAGTGTGCTGAATGATTTCTTCTACTCTTTCTGGTGTGAAGGCATAGAACTTGCATGATGTCAAGTCATCCCTGCAAGATGTAACACATGCACAGTACAAGGATTCATACGACAGGATAAAAGGTCGATGGAGTAAGTTAGAAATAACACATACAAACACAGCAAGTGCTCAAGATCGCAGGCAGACACATTCACACACAAACCAACAATGACACACTACAGAAAAACTAACATTGACACAAACCCCCCCTCCCCCTCCTCTTTCCCACCAGTAAGGCAGCAGCATCTTCCTGTACCGCACCTTGATGCTCATCGCCCATTTCGCCCATCGTTAGAGATGGCCCAGCGCATCCCTCAAGACACACTGACAAGTCCCAGCACACACATAGACTCACCAGTAAGGCAGCAGCATCTTCCTGTACCGCTCCTTGATGCTCGTCGCCCACTTGGCCCGAATCTTCCGCCTCAGCCCATCGTCAGGGGTCGTCCAGTGCCTCTGCCTCTCTTGCAGCTCCTCAAACGCCGAGTTGAACCGCTTTAAGCTGCACGCACACAGAGCAGGGGAATGATTAGAGGTGCTCAGTTCCCAGTGCCCGCCTCGGCCCATCATCAGGGATGGTCCAGTGCCTCTGCCTCTCCTGGAGCTCCTCAAACGCCGAGTTGAACCGCTTCAAACTGGATGTAGAGGGACAAAGTTCGAGGCATCCATATCAGCCCATCGTGAGGATGACTCGGAGGCACCCACCCACTTCAGCCCCTCACGGAGTGACTCAATCCCTCTGCCTTTTTCAGAGCTCTGCGAATGAGAGCTCCGCAAATGAGAGATCCGCAAATGAGAGCTCCGCAAATGAGAGGTCCGCAAATGAGAACACTGAATCGTTTCAAGAGTGCATAGAGGGGTTTTACCTGTCATGTTACTGATCCATCCATTCCATTGAACATTCATCAACACGTGTTAATCTACCATTACATGTCATCTCAGCGTTTCATGTCCTCTCACCGTTGCATCTCCGCCTTGACATAGTCAGCAGCAGTTCTGTGCGTGGGCTGAACCGCATCCTCATTGGTGCTCAGGGCAGTCATGACCTGATGGGGCGAATGAAAGGATAGACATGGTGGTAGTGGGAGAAGGAAGGAGGGATGCAGTGGGAACCAAGCGAAGGGAAGGCTGCACTGCATCCTCATTGGTGCTCAGGGCTGTCATGACCTGATGGGGCAATGCATATAGGGACAGGTAGCACGGATTCAGAGAGGGTTGAAGGGGGAAACGAGCGAGTGGCTGGCTGCAATGAGCCCTCGTCGGTTCTGAGGGCGGTCACGACCTGATGGGTTGACACGATGGTCAGGGAGGTAGTTAAAGGAGGTGCACGTAGGTGGGGAGCGGTGCACGTTGGTGGGGAGAAATGCGCTACCTGTGAAAAGCGCCGGGTTCGAGAGCGATGGAGGCACACTGGGCGGGCATGGGTGCCATCATATCTCACCTTGAGGAGAGCGAGGGACTGGAACGCCCCTGCAGCCTGCTGCACAACCCGGACCTGCTGCACCACCCGGACCTGCAGCAGGCTGCAGGGGCTGGAACAGTCCCTTGCAGGCTGCAGGCTGCTGCAGGTCGTCATGCAGGTCTGCTAACGCTACCCCGTGCCCTGACACGACTCAACTGAACCCCTCTGGAAAAGGCCACCATACCTGAGTGTACCGGACTGTCTCACCTTGAGGAGAGCGAGTGACTGGAATGCCCCTGCGTGTTGCTGCACCACCCGGTCGTCATGCAGGTCTGCTAACGCTACCATTAGATCCTTGGCACCCTCCCTGGTGGGTGATTAGCAGGGGGAAACGAGAGGAACCACATTCGATCACTCTGCGCCGCACTCAACCACCACCCGGTCGTCATGCAGGTCTGCCAAAGCCACCATGAGGTTCTTGGCGCCCTTCCTGGGAATAATGGAGGAAATGGGAACTGGCGGGGGAAACAAACAAAGCTGAACCGCTCTGCACCACATTCTGATCCCATACATCCCCCATACGGTTCAGGGTACCGTAAAAATGAAAAAAAAAAAAAAAAAAAAAAAAAAACGCCCTAAACCCAGCCACCGTACCTCCCAGCCACCGTACCTCCCAGCCACCGTACATACCAGCCACCGTACCTACCAGCCACCATACCTCCCAGAAGCAGCGGCATACCTTCTCACAGCAGAGAGGTTCTTTTCAATGCCCTGTGCGTGCCACCCGTGCCAGTCGTTCCTGCCCAAGCAAAACAAAAAAAAAAGGTAACAGTCAAGTGAAGATGTCCATGAATTTCTTTGTCCGCAGAAGTGGAAAATGTCAAGACAGCTTAACGCCTCGCCCTGGACTCTAGATTCCTCCTTAAAGCCATCACCAGCTGAGCTGTCTCGCTCCCTACGCTCACCCACCTCCTTCCCACACACAAGCAAGATAAATTCACATGGACCAGATAATTATAGTTGTTCACCAGATAATATAATTGTTCACCAGATAATCATGATTGACCAGCTATTTCGCTTGCAGAATAGCTTCTGTAGCTCCTCCTCCGAGTCGAGCCTCGCTCTGGACTCTACGTTCCTCCTTAAAACTATCACTAGCTGACGCTGAATTGCCTCATTGCCTGCGCTCCTCCCTCCACTCTTCCCTCTCACACACAAGCAAGATGGACTCACATAGACTTGACGAGATAATTGAGGTTGTTCATAAGGAATAGTTGCTGTAACTCCTCCTCAGGGTAAAGCCTTGCTCTAATCTCTAGGTTCCTCCTTAAAGCCATCACCAGCTGAGCTGTCTCGCTCTCCAGGCTCCTCCCGCCACCTAGCGCCCTCCCGTTTGCTGACATGGCAGATGCTGACGTGGCGTTCATTGTGGCAGCGGCGGCGGCGGCAGCGATTGGATTGGAGGAGGCGAGAGGGGAGAGGGAGGAGGAGGCGGGGAGGGAGAGGAGGGCGAAATCTGAAGTCAGGGAGCTTGGGTCTTCGTCTGGATGGGCCTCGAGAAGAGAGAAGAGAGATGTGAGGGAATCCACGTAGCTTCGTCTGCCTTGCCTGATAAGGAGGGTGGGGGTTGGGAGGGGAAGGAGGAGGAAGATAAAGAAAAGGAAAGCTGGGGTCTTCGTCTGGGTGAGCCTCAAGGAGAGAGAAGAGGGACGTGAGGGAGTCGACGTAGCTTCGCCTGCCTTGCCTGTCCAGGAAAATGGGGAGGGGGAGGAGCGGAGAGGAGAGATTGAATACACAGTTCAGCTGTGTGCTGTGAGGGAGCTGGGGTCTTCGTCTGGATGGGCCTTGAGAAGAGAGGAGGGACGTGAGGGAGTCGAGGAGGGAGGAAAAGGAGGAAAGCGGACGTAGCCAACAGCCCCCATTTTTCCACTCAACCTTCTCCACAGTTCTTGTCCATGTGTCCCCTACCCTCATTCACTCCTCCTCCCCCTCCCCGCACTACTCCCACGCACCGCTGCATGTAGCTACAGATATAGTTGGCCACATAGCTTGTGAGTCCACAGCGCCCCCTACTCTCTCCCAGACTCCCACTCAACCCTTTCTAACCCCCACAAACCCCCGCGCACCGCTGCATGTAGCTGCAGATATAGTTGGCCACATAGCTCGTGATCAAATCCACAGCGCCCCCTCTTTGAAATCACCTCTCTGTTTCCATCCGATCCCATGCTTCTCTCCAGCCCACCCTCCCCCAACCCACCTCCCCCCCTCCCCCCCCCCCACACACACGCACCCCTACGCACACAAACACACACCCCCACGCACCGCTGCATGTAGCTGCGAATGTAGTTGGCCACATAGCTCGTGATTGAGTCCACAGCGCCTCCTCGCGGCACAATCTCATACACCGACTCGTCTGGTGCCACTGCTGTGCTGCTGTTGCTGGTTGCGCTGCGGGTGAGGAAGCTGAAAAGGAGAACAGGAAGGAAAGTGGGGGAGAAGAGTCAACGTGAGCTCTAATTGAGATCTCATACACCGACTCGTCTGGCGCGACTGCTGTGCTGCTGTTGCTGGTGGCGCTGCGGGTGAGGAAGCTGAATAAGAGGGCAGAGCATAGCAGAAGGGGAAAAGCACAAGGGGAAAGGGATGGTGAGAGGGCTGCACTGCTGCTGCTGCTGCTGCTGCTGCTGCTGCTGCTGCTGCTGCTGCTGCTGCTGATGCTGCTGCTGCTGTTGCAACTGCTCTGTTCGCCATTTAAATAGCACTTATCTCGCTCACCACTCTCCTCTCCCCTACTACTCACCTCAAAGCTGCCTTCTTGGCAGGAACGGGTTTCCTCATGGCATCAGCAAGATTCGAAGCAGCAGAATCCTCCAATAAGAGCTTGAGGCGCTGGAAGCATGCTGCCACTGCTCGGCCCAGCAGAACCAAACCACTCACTGCCACTGTCAGTGCACTTGCCTTGTGCATCACACCCTCTCCTCCTCTCCCTTACCACTCACCTCAAAGCTGCCTTCTTGGCGGGAACGGGTTTCCGCATGGCATCAGCAAGATTAGAAGCAGCAGAGTCTTCCAGTAAGAGCTTGAGTCGCTGGAAGCATGCTGCCACTGCTCGCCCCAGCAGCAGCGGCAGGCCCTCACACGCCCCCCAGACATTGCTGACCTTCAGATCCTGAAAGGTGGCAGCGAGCTGGGGTAGAAGTACAGGGGAAGGCGATTGAGAGAGAGGGAGAGGCAGGGGGAGGAGAAAGAGCTGAAAGGCCAGCAGCAGCGCAAGCCGCTCACATGCAACCCACCTCACAGTTCTGCCCTTCACATCATCTGCAGTCACACATCACCTACAAGCACATAGATTCCTATGTGCTTGTGCACGATGCTACTCCGCCATGCTGCGTCATCTCAACCCCTGCCAGCTACAGTCACAGCACATCACACCATGCCCAACAGACACACCCACCCACCCACCCACCCACCCACCCACCTCGGGCATGATCTCCTGAACCACTTGATAAGCGTCCAGCAGCGAGAACAGCTGCTCTGCCATCTGCCGTGACACGATCGCCCTCAGCACGTCCGCTAGAAACAAAACCCGCCGCCCGACGCCGCCGTCCTCCAGCACGCCCCTTAGGGCGGCACGCCTCTGCGTGTCCATGCCCTTCCAAGCCTCGTTGGCCGTTTGATGCTCCATGGGAATTATCAACGCTCCCTGTGCAAAACGAGGAGACCAACAGGGAAAGGAGTGCAATAGGAAGGTAACTACTCACCCAAAGCACCTCTCCCCTCTGTGTGCCCATCCATGCCCTTCCAAGCCTCGTTGGCCGTCTGATGCTCCATGGGGATTATCAACATTCCCTGTGCAGAAAGGGCATGGTCAGAGGCAACATCAGTGAAAACACACACAAAGAAGCACCACACAAACACCCACACGTGCACACGCACCCTTAACACCTCTCGCGGCTCCCCTCTGTGTGTCCATGCTCCATGGCGATTCTAAGCGCCTCTTGTGCAGAAAGGCACACTCACACACCCTCGGTGCCTAATGGTGGGTGGGTGATGTATGCATGTTCAGAGATAGCAGCATTCCTTGGATATAAGCTGCCAGCACTGCACCCACTTCCTTGACGTCTTTTGAGACGTCTCAAAACACTCCACCACCAATCCCGCGTATGAAGAAGTGTTTTAAGACGTCTCAAAACACTTCTTCATATATAGATAGCAGCATTCCTTGGATATAAGCTGCCTGCAGTGCACCCACTCCCTTGACATCGCCTCTCCAGACACCAGTACTCTCCACAGCACCTTGTGAATTACCCTTGGATGGACTCAACACACCCTCAACAGTGTGTGGGCAATGCATGCGTGTTCTATGATAACAACATTGCACGTTCTAGCATACAGCATAGAGCATCCAGCTTACAATGATATATGCCGCCTGCACCCACTCCTTGGAAGCCTGCTCCAGCACTTGCCAAGGAGCCTCGTGAATCACTCCCTGGCTCAGCACATCTTTTCGGGTGATGGGGCATGCACTGGTACGTAACAGCACAGTATACTCGTGCAGCACAGCAACAGCCTTACAATGATATATGCAGCCTGCACCCACTCCTTGGAAGCCTGCTCCAGCACCCTCCACGGTGCCTCGTGAATCACTCCCGGACTCAACACATCTTCCAGCTTCAGTTCATCCATCAGGGCTTTAACTGCCTCCACGCGCACAGACCTGTAAGCTTCCACGCACTTTCCTCCCGCCCCTCCTTGCACCATCCTCCCAGCCGCCTCATTCAACCACCGCCCCGTGCTCACAGGAAACAACTCAGGAACCTTCCTCCTCTCTTTCCTCCTCCCCTCCTCCTCCTCCCCTTCCCCCCCAGCCTTCTCATCCTCTTCCCGGTCCCCTTCTTTTCTCCCCTCCCTCCTCCCCCCCCTCCCCTCTCCCCTTTCCCCTGGACTCAAAAGTCCCTCATCCTCCCCATCCGCCCCTCCTCTCCCTTCCCTCCCCCCCCTGCCCTCCCGCCCCTCCCCCTTCTCCTCCCCCCCTTCCCCTGCCGCCTCCCCACTCCCCACATGCAGGAACTCCGCCTGGAATAACCTCTTGAGCTCGTCCACTGAAAAACGCGCTGAGGCTTGCTTGCTGGGGTGTTGAGGGTAGGCAGGGAGGGAGGGAAGGAAAAGGAGAAATAGATGGAGGTGGAGTGAGATTGGGGGAGCGGGGATTCTGATGGCCCTGGGAGGGGGAGAGGGAGCGCATGCGGGAAAGGATCTCTGGAATCGTGAGGGAGAGAGAGCATGCGAGGATTCTGATGGCCTGGAACAGCCTCTTCAGCTCGTCCGCACTGAAGCAGGCAGAGGCATGCTTGCTGGGGGGAAGAGTAGGAAAGACTTGGGGGTGTAGGGAGAAGAGTGGGGGGGAATGGGACGGTAAGGGGGAGGGGGAGCACATGGGGGAATTCCGCCTGGAACAGCAGCCTCTTCAGCTCGTCTGCACTGAAGCGGGGGGGAGCATGCTTGCTGAGCGAAATGGGGGGAAGCGGGGAAAGATATGGGCCTGAGCCGAAGGGTGGGGAGAACGCACTTGTACTCACAACCATTCATGCTTTCAGCACTTTCGTACCACCTTCTCACACCCCCTCCTCTCATCTGCGCCTCTTCAGAATGTCTCTGAGTTCGTATTCCAGGTCCTCCATGGCCGTCCGCAGCAGCATGTCCGCCCTGTCTTCATGCACCCTGGTACCAGCATTCACTGACCCTCTTCTCTCACCCCCCTCCTCACCATCTTCCTCACCTGCGCCTCTTCAGAATGTCTCTGAGTTCGTAATCCAGGTCCTCCATAGCAGTCCGCAGCAGCATGTCCGCCCTCCCTGGCACCAGCACAATTCACCTCCTTCTCACACCCCCCTCGCTAAACCAGCAACATCTCACCTGCGCCTCTTAAGAATGTCTCTCAGTTCGTAATCCAAATCCTCCATGGCCATCTGCAGCAGCATGCCGGTACCAGCACTTCGTACCTTAGCCCCTTCTCTCACACACATAGATTAACCTCCACCGTTTCACCTGCGCCTCTTCAGAATGTCTCTCAGTTCGTAATCCAAATCCTCCATGGCCGTCCGCAGCAGCATGTCCGCCCGGCGCCCAGACTCCTTCTCCCCCACCTCCGCCAGCACCTTCCGCACGTTCAGCAGCAGATCAACCACCGGCAGATACTCGTCTAGCTTGCCATGAGGCCCTGCTGCGATCATTGCCTCGATCTACAGGTGGATGGAGGGAGGGTGAGAGGGAGAGAGGGTTGTGGTTGGGTAGAGGGAGAAGAGGGAGGTTTCTTCTCCCCCACCTCCGCCAGCACCTTCCTCACGTTCAGCAGCAGGTCTACCACCGTTAGGTACTCGTCCAGTTTCCCGTGTGGCCCAGCCGCAATCATCACCTCGATCCGAGCAAGATTGGGAGCAGGGGTGGAAAGGGAAAGAGGGAGTTGAGGTTGTGGGTTTGTGTAGGGGTACTCGTGCATCCCTCACCATCCCCCACCTCCGCCAGCACCTTCCTCACGTTCAGCAGCAGGTCTACCACCGGTAGGTACTCGTCCAGTTTCCCATGTGGCCCTGCTGCAATCATTGCCTCGATCCGAGCAAGATACGGAGCAGGGGCGGATGAGGGAAGGGTGGGAAGGAGAGGGGGTTGGGGATTGGGGAGAGAGGGGGAGGGGGGGCGGGAGGTGCCAGTCCCCGACCCCCCACCTCCGCCAGCACCTTCCTCACATTCAGCAGCAGGTCTACCACTGGCAGGTACTCGTCTAGCTTCCCGTGTGGCCCTGCTGCAATCGTTGCCTCAATCTGAGAGAGGAAGGGAGAGGAAGAGCGATAGAAGAGGGTTGTGGGGTTACTCCTTTCCCCCCACCCTTTCACCCCCCACCTCCGCCCACCTTTTCAGCAGCTCCGATACTTGCTTTAAAATGTTATCCTTATCCTCCTCACCGATCCAAACCATGTTCAACCCTCCTCAACCGTTATCTAACTTTGAGAAGTCAACCACCAACTTGCTCACCTGACTCAACAGCTCTGATACTTGCTCTAAAATGTTCTCCTTATCCTCCTCCGCCTCCTCCTCTCCCTCTCCTTCCCCCTCCCCTTCCTCCTCCACTTCCGTTTCCTCCTCCGCTTCCGTTTCCTCCTCCTCTTCCTCCTCCTCCTCGAATTCCGTTTCCGTCTCCTCCACCTCCGTTTCCGCCTCTGTTTCAACCTCCGTTTCAACTTCCGTCTCTGCTTCAGTCTCAACTTCCGTCTCGAATTCCGTTTCCGTTTCAGCCTCCCCCTCCGTTTCAGTTTCCGTCTCGGACTCTGGCTGGGGGACCGGACGCCTGTACGGAACCGAGCCGCCGCCGCTCTGCCGCTGCTGAGCTGGCACCGGCGGGTTTCTTTGCCAGTTGTTCCGATCATACGGTTGTTGCTCCCTGGTATCCCGCGAATCACGCTGGTTCGAATAACGCGGTTCGTACTGTTCATCCGGGTCGTACGCGTCTCTAGAATTTTGCTTTCCGCGGGAGGGAGGAAGTTCTTCTAACGAAGCCTGGGGTCTGCGTGGCTGTAACGGGGGAGCCTGCCGTGTCTGCTGCTGTTTCTGCTGCTGTTGCTGCTGCTGCTGCTGCTGCTGCTGCTGCTGCTGCTGCTGCTGCTGCTGCTGCTGTTCGGGACGGAGAAGCTGACGTGGTTGATGATGTGGAAGAGAGGGAAGCGCACGTGGCATGTCGTCATCTTCGTCCCAGGAATTGTTGCCGGGTCCGCCTCGTGCGGGACCAGGCCGTTGTCGCGTATCCTGATGAACGAAAGGGCGATTTTTCACGAAAGGGAGTTTTATATATTCATTCTATGTCTCAGGCTTGAAATCATCAGAAGGTCGTTGTTTGTCGCGTATCCTGGCGGATGAAGCGAGGAATTTATTTTTCAGTGGGCTCACTTTGACTCAAACTACAGGCTTACAAGTACCCCATTGTTAGTCGGTGTCGAGTATCCTAACAGGCGGGAGGGGGACAACTTTCTCTTCTCAGTTGACGCAAAAGACGAGCGGGAAACAAGCACCCGCCACATCCGGAGAGATAGAGACCTCACGAGGATATTTACAGCCCTAATAGCCCTCATTAGCGCTTTAGAGAAGATGCACAAGGCGGACTTTTCGTAGTGGTCAATATAGTCTAGCGCATTTTCAACGATGGACGGTGCGGTTAGAAACTGAAGCGGAGAAGAGAGAGGCGAGTGGCCAGCCTGGCGGCAGTGAGAATCGTGAGGTCGCATCGAAGCGAGTCGATTTGATATTAGACGACAAAATGGCTTCACGATGTTTGCGTACCTTATGCATGGTTGTAGTTTGTTCGCAAAATCATCCGCTAAGACAGTGGGACCGTAAGCCTGAAAGCCGAAAGCAGCACGGAAAAAACTTCCCTAAGCGCTCCTCGAAGAGAAACTGTTGCAATAGCCGACTTCAGCAACTGTCAGCATTCAAGACTATGAGTGTCAGGTGCGAAAGACATCAAAGCGCGTGCTGCTTCGCATTGCTCCAATCCCGCAGAGCTTCGCAGAGCGCTAATCGCAAGAACGAGCTGGGACCGACATGCCGATTGGTTCCTCTTTGAGCAAACTAAACGTAGCGCGCAGTGGCTTGGCTCCGTCCTCCTAACTTAGCTGATACAACACCGACATGACAGTCACAGTGTGCTATTTTCATTCAGGCTGTTGATATTTCTTCGCCGAAGAAATCCATGGCTGCGGTAACATCGAGGACAGTGCAAAGCGATTGAAAGAGATGGAGAAAGACGGAGAGGAGTATCGGTGCAGCAAGGCAAGACAAGGTGAAGTTTGCTGCCAATTGGTTGGGTACAAAAACGAAGCTGCTTGTGAGGTTTGGATGAGAGGCGGGAGTGATTTTATCGAGAGGTCAAAAAGTGAGGCGAGGAAAACGGTTACTGTTCAGTGCATACCTGGAAGTTGCAATTCAGTTAGAACCGTTACCTGAGTTGTCGGCGTTAGTACACCCGGAACACTCCTTACAGAGTCAACTTAAACATTCCATAAGTGTACATAATATACTGTACACACAATCAAAACCTACAATCAATCTTATGCACTAGCCACCGGCTTGAACCTAAGCTCTGCTGGCAAAACCGCGAGAACGTCGGTGGGGAGTAATAGGAAAGTGTCCAGGAAAGAGTCATTGACAGGAGGCACACGTGCTACTCCAACTAGAGTACACTTCCCGGAGGCGTCAAGCCTTGAGCCTTTGGCCGAACGTATGGGCCCAGCAGAGCTTTCGGTGGTTAAAATGGTTTCTACAGTAAGCGGTGGTGCGGTGTAGATGGGTCCTGCTGTGAAGAAGAATTTAGAGATGAAGGTCAGCTCCACCTGAAATGGGGATGCGTGGGAAATGGATGTAGGGGAAGTGAAAGTGGAACACGGATGAGGGGAGATAATGTAATGTCATGTCTATTATCCATATTATTCTATGCAGACGTATCCTATGCTCATGTGTAAATCCATCTAGCTTCCATAAGCCAAACCCAATGCACCCCTCTGCAACACCCCCACAACACCATTCTCCCCTCCCCTCCTCCAACCCCCCACCCTCCCCTCGTCCCCCCACCTTGCTTGGAGAACCATCTCCCTTCATTACAAGAACCCTCCTCTTCCTTCATTACAAGAACCCTCCTCTTCCTTCATTTCAAGAACCCTCTTCCTTCATTTCAGCCCTAGTCTCTCTCAATCCATCGCCCTGTCACCACATCACAGCCACTTGGGGCCGAGTCGTCTCAGAATACCCGACTATTGAGTCAACTCTCAAAGAAAATATACTCAAACCCTAACTTCTACAGGATTCTCTAAAATCTTTAGGCCGACTCCCAAAGCATACACTTGAAACTCCAAGCCAAATCCTAAGCGAAATCGCTTAAACGCTTTGAGCCATCTCCCCAGGAGATGACCAAAAAGCATTTCCCAAAAGCTGAAAGTGCGACACTCGTTGGGGAAATGGCCAAAACGAGCTTAGAATAATCTCGGGGCTCCCAGGGCCTACCTTTCCACCCAGTCCACCGCTTCAACCAAACCTTAAGCGCCACGGCCATAAAAGACATTCAGAGTTTCCAGGACCTACATTGCCACTCGACCTTTCGAGTTACCACCTTCGCGCTGCGGTCGCTCAAGACATCTTTGGGCTTCCACGGCCTACCTTGCCAGTCGACCTCTCGAGGTAGCCCCTTAGCGCCGCGGGAGCGATGTCAATCTTAAGCGGCGGGGGCAGCGGAAGCCCGAGGAACCGCGTCGTATCGTACCGCAACGGGGGAATGTTTAGAGTCTGCGGGTCGAAAACTATCTCAACGCGATCCGACCCGTCGGTTAAATCCGTCGCGGTTCCCGAGCCGCCTCCCCCGGAAACGCCGCCGGGGCTGTAGCTGAAATCAGGGTAAATCGCGACTCCAAGTCCGCAGTTATCCCCGATTTGAATCTCCACCGTGGATCCCGGAGGGCAAGGGGGAATTACGGCAGGGCCTAGCGAGAGTGACGTGGAATCTGGGGAAGCTGACGTGGAGGGCGGTGCGAGTAAGGAAGTGGTAAGTGCGGCGGATGAGAGCGCCACGAGAGAACGTCGCGAGAGAAGGCCATCCGCGACTAGCTGCTCGGGCGCGGTGAAATCTGAGCCGTCCAAGTTACCCTGTTGCGGAATCAAGTGTGAAGATGGATCGAATGCGGAAGGTTCATCGGCGGTGGGGAGGGACGCTCGAGCTTGCACCGAAACCGCCCGAGTCGGCTTTGCGAAATGCGCATCGAGTTGCACTGGAACGCGCGGCGAGAGTCTAGGGATCTGCTGCTGGCGAATGAGGCCAGGCAAATCCCGCCGCGACCAGCGGCGCGGGATGGTTGCGCTGGCTGCGGTGCTGCCGCCGCTAATTGCAGCAAGCTGGGATTGCGCGATCATGGGGAAGACGGCTGACGTGGCAGGGCTGAAAGGGACGTCCAAGAGGGATCGAGGGAATTGAAGTGGTGCGTGCGAAGAGATTATCCTCGGAATACGGCTGATGGACTTCCACTGGATTTTTGAAGTGTTTGTTGCAGTTACACCTTACTAAGTTTCGCCTAGAGTGAGATCACTCATATTTCAAAAGCAGTAAATGAATTTAAAACACCATACAAACAGTACACCGCTCAATATTAGAAGCACGAGGTATGCTTTTTCGTCCACCATATCAATCTAACGATTCCAAAACCTAGAGAGAACAAAATTGTTTAGTGAAGGTGAGGTCAAATAATGGTCGGATTGGCCCAACCTCTACTCCTCAACCCCTCACCAGTTATCACCACCTCGGTCCTCACCAACTTGTTTGCTCCATACTCTATGACCTTCTTTCCACCGATGATGTGTCGTCAGGTGAACGCGGGACAAGGACAGACAGACACTCATCACTTCTTCATATCCCATGCAGCCTTCTTCACCTTGTTTCCTTTGAAAACAGGGTGACCTTCCTTGTCAGACGTAGGAGAATGTGAGGCGAGGACAGACAACCAGACCGCATCAAATCTCTGTAAACGGTGACCTTCCCTCCAATGATGATGTGTCAGAGGCAGGCGAATGTGAGGCCAGAACAGACGAGGGGCTCCACAGACGGCCAGGATGCGTCGTCTTATCTGTTGCCAATAGTCCAGGTAAAATCAATTGTGGTTGGAACACAAGCGGCGGAAGTGCTTGCACCGAGGTGGCTGACATGGGGGATTGCAGTGGGGCAAGCGGTGACAGCGGCCGCTGGGGCTGCAGGCGCAGAGAAACTGGGATCTCTTCCCACCCTGAAACTTCGCCTCCTCCCTCCGCTTCCTTCACTCTCACATTCTCACATTCCTGCCCTCTTGCCTGCACCAGCAACATATCATTTAGCCCTGTTGACATCGCAGCTGCTCCTGTTGCAGTTGCAGTGGCAGCTGCAGGCACAGCCGTCCCATCTCCCTCCATCCAGCTGTTATCCTTTGAGCTTTGGCTCTCAGAGCTTTCCCCCAACGTGTGCAGCTGCAGAGCGGAGAGGCAGGAGCGGAGAAGCGAGCCAAGGGCTTGCAGGTCGACAGAGCATGCCAGTGGTTCCCTGTGACGCTTATTTGCAGAAGCCGTAGAAGGAGCAGCAGCAGCAGCATGTGGCATTGCTGACGTTCCAGGACTCGATAAGAGACGCTCCTGTACAGGCAGCAGTTAACAAAGGAGGAACGGGCGGAAAAACAATTCCATTAATCCAGCACATACATCAAGGAAACAGAGGCTAAAACTAACTTCGGAGCCATTGCTGGTGCAATCATATAAAGGAAAACCTAGATCTCGGTAATTAGTGAAAAGGAAGAGAAGGAGCAGACGAGGTGGTGCTTGAGGCGCCTTGGAAAGGGCTCATCCCCGATATAAGCCTCGACAAGGGGCGTCTCAAGAACCACCTCGCCCGCGTACAGCAAACGACACGCAAAGAACACCTGTGTCGAAAGAAGTTCGCCAAATATAGCGACACATGTGCAAGCAGCACCGAATAACGGCCAAGCATCAAAGGCAAGTGCTCAAGCAGCATTGACAAGTGCTCAAGCAGCATTGGCAAGTGCCCAAGCAGTCGTGCTTGACCGAGGAGACGAAGTCTGGTCATAGCTTCACAGCGCAAGTTACCAGTGGTAACCAAATCTTGACGCGCTCTGTAACGGATCAGGCTATAGCGATGGCAACTGAACCGACCTGAAGTGACGTGTGAGCCGTGGCGCTTCCCACGTCGGCACAGGACGATCCAGTAGCGGCGGCAGCAGCGCCAGCGGCGGCAGCAGCGCCAAGCGACGATATATCGATGCGAAGCTCCACAGACGGCACATGCGACCCTGTTTCGCAGCAGGCGCCGCTCAGTCGCACAGCTGTTGCCGTCGTCGTATTCTCCTCGTTCCCCAGCCACGCCCTGAACGAAGGTTGGTTCGCAGAGACGGGTAACAGCTTGTGCGATCTCGCCGCCTTGCCGTCCACTGGAACAAACGCGTTTAATGCGACGTTCGATGCGGAGAGTGTCAGCGGCAGTGGCGGTGGCAGTGTGCCGTTGAGTTCCTTAAGTGGCTTCAACGGAGCGGCGCGAACGACAGGCGCGGGAGCTGTATTGATCGCGGTATTAGCAGCGCTCGGCGCGGGCGCGGTACTAGCTGTGACGACCTGAAGTGACTCCGACGGAGTAACGTGAGTGACGGGCGCGGCGGGAGCACACGCGCGTCGGGGAGGGGGTGTCGGGGGGAGGTCAAAGAACATGTCGTCCCAAACCCTCCGCCTGCGCGGGCGCACGGGGGGACCCGCTGGGCGATCGGCCGCTAGCTTTTCCGCCCTCTCCGCGTTCTTCTTCCGGTTGTAGCGCTCAATCTCCCGCATCAGCGCGACTGGAGTGGGGGTGAGCGGAGCGGGAACGACCGGCGGAATGACGAGTAGCGCGGGACGCGCAAGGCGGCCGATGGGGGGACTGGGGTTGGGGATCGGCGGAGGAGGCTCGTAGAGATCGCGCTGCGAGTAGCCGCCATAGCCCCAGAACTGCTGCTGCAGCCGCGTGTCCATGTACATTCCAGTGGCCATTATGTGTACTTCTGTTGCTACTGTACTTGTTCGTCTGACTGACGGTCAATCGTCGAATTGACGGAAAGTGACACAGGAACGGGAGTGATGACGTCGTTTGAAGGTATTATGGTGGGCTTGTGATGAGGAGTCTAGCGATAGGTCACTCAAATGCCACTAAATGCCTGGCTCATCCGTACGCTTACTGGGAAAATAAGAGGAAAACAGTCTTCTCACAAGCAACCCTGCCTGTAGTTGAATTATGACTCGGAACTCAGAGGCTTTTCCTGAAGCTAGGTTGCAGTTTCTCGTCCGTGTATACTAGCCAAGACTTGACAATGGAACTTGAGCTAAGCAAAACTCGATGCTCAAAGATCGATGTGAGTTCCTCGATGTCTGTTCGTCAAACTCCAATGGTTCCTCTCCTGCCAATTCTTCCTAGAGATATACGTGCCCAGGATGCTCTGTCACCCATTCCCAAGATGCAATGAAGAATGTCTTGCCTGCTGGTTTTCACCTCTCAACACCTATATAATATTACAATTTACCATAGTACCATACTACAGCGCTCTGTAACGTAATCATCCAATGTGACCTTTTCGCTCCGCGCTTCCTTCTCGTCATCGTCCATCCTCGAGGGCGAAGCAGGTGGCGCCGCTCTGTCAAGTTCGGTTCTATTGAGGCGGCGAGAGATTGGATGGACTAGCTGACGGCTGGAACCGACGGGCATCAGCGAATAGTCACGTTGTGCGACGATGGATCACTGTACTGTGCTGTACTGAGCTGAAAACGTTGTCGCAACTCGTCGATTGCACCCATCTGTGACTTCCGCTGAAGTCGGTGGTTCGCAAAGGGGCTGGATGGGCGTCGTACAGATGGACAACGCAGCACGTGTGCGAAACGTGCAACGGCACCCAAGTCGCGTTCAGCATGGCGCATCGGGTCACATATGACAGCCTAGACCCTAAACGCGCCTCGATCATCACTGAAACCACCAGTTTTGACGGTGGGTGCCTTGGGCCGCCACCTGTGCCTGCCACCGCTTTGGTTCGACTTGAGCACTTGCGTAACCGAGCCGAGCAAGCATGCACGCGCACTAGCAACCTCGATAGTGCAATAATCGTGCAAACAAAAGACGCTCGGAATGCACAAATCAGCTGTTAAGAAGGGCAATTGAGATACGTAACAAGGACTTCTCTAATTACTAGGCCAACAATGTTACAGGAAATCGGCAAATGAACGAGCTAACTTGAATATATCCGTAATGCAGATGGTAAGGGGAGCATTAGGCTTTCACTTGGCCACACATCGCTGGTGAGGACAGATATGTTGTGCAAAGCGCAATCAGTGTTCTGCTTTTATTAGTCGCAACCCATAACCGGGTTAACTTTCACAAGGGCCCACAACTACCCAATGATCAGCTAAGCTAAAGATGCTGAGGTGGCATCCTTCTAATCCTGGACCTCCATATCTCATGATCACCTACAGAATGGTTAGATAAAGTCCATTGCTCTATTATTTCCGACATACACTCTCTATGCTGTTGCTCCAGCCTACATTGATGGCTGTGCCTGCTACTCCAATGGCTTCCTGCCTACCTACTCTGCACAAATGCTGCATGTGCTTCGGAGCTTGAAGCAGCTAGTTGGGGAACTCCAACGAGATGGTGAGAGTTCTGACCAATAGAAGGGCTTCACACAAAGCTGGTATGCGCATCAGATCAATTTTGATGAGTTTCACGCAACTGCCATGGCCGGCTCGGGGACGAGATACTTGGATACGAACTCACGGGCAAAGAGCGAAGGGTTGATGATGCCCTGCAAATGGATGGAGAGATTAAGGTACATACATGTGGATGTGGAGATAGTAATAACAGACACGCATGGATGCATGAAAGAATTTCGGACACAATCATAATGTGATCAGGCATACATGGATGAAGAATAGCATTATCAGGCCGAGATGTATGCTAGGATGGATGGAAAATCAATATTATATCGACAATGGCTATGGGTAGACAGGGTGAGTGCATGGTTCAAATGAGTCGGACTTAGAAAACAGGAATTGAAGTTACAGCACAAGCTACATGCCTGCACACTTCCATGCTGTAAAAGAGATACCACGTGCATTCAAATGTCACAAGTCACAACTAGCATTACTCTGTTTAGGAGTCTTACATGAGAGCCAGGCATGGTGGTGAAGTGCAGCTTTTTCTTCTCATGCAGGGTGCGCAACCCCAGCCAGTCCTCTGCAAACATCGGCTGCTCTTGTAACGGGAGCAGATTTCCGGAGCGGTCGTGCGACCAGAACCACTGGTGGAGCAGATTTGGGGATGGGGGGGAGTTGGGAGAAGAGGGGGAACGCGGGTGAGGGGGAAGGGGGGGGGGGGGGGGGGGGAGGGGAACGGGTGGTGGGGAGGGAGCGGGGGTGTGGGGGAGAGGGAGGGGTGGGTTGTTGATGTTTGGGAGAGGGGATGTCGGAGTGGGGGAAGGTAGTATACGGGGGACATGTAACGTACCGATGATTGGGGTGGCGAGATCATCGTTTCATCTTGCCATCGCACCAGTACCAGCCGATCCAAGCTCCGCACGTTCGCAGCGTACGTCTCATTCCGTCTCGTCGGGCCGCGCTCGTTGTTGATATCCGCGAGAAACACGCTCCGCTGCAAGTACCGATCCATGTGTCGCCAAAGCCGAAAGTACTGCGCGGGCATGAAAAGCTTTTGTACCCAGGGCTGGTAAATTCGGTGCATATGCGGTTTTAAAAGTGTGCAGAAGTCTACAGCCGCCCCTAGGCCGCTAAGCAACGCCCAAGTCACGCTCCCTGCAATCTCGCTGCTTCCAGCGAAGCTTCCGCCGCTGATTCCGCCGCTAAAGCTTATGAGGCCGCTACTGAAGCGACTTAGGCTATTACCGCTGCTGAGCCCGCTTAACCCGCCGCTAAAGCCGCTAAGGCCGTTGCTGCTAGATGCAAGCACTCTTAACGCAGATTCGCCGATGCCTCCTAGACTACTAAGTCCGCCCGATTCCGCCCCCTCCTCTTCCTGCCACGTGCTTCCCACCTCCCAGTCTGCTGCCACGCTGGCGCTAGACGTGGCGTTCGCCGCCACATCATCATCATCCCCAACCCGCGTGCAACCAGCAGGATTCAGCTCCTCTTTAATCTCCCTGCTCGGGCCGCAGTACGGCAGCGCGGCCATTCCCGCGTGGGGGGAACCGAGAGTGATGAGCGTGCGCACGGGGGGCGAGTTGCAGCGCTGCACGTACGCGCGGAAGAGCAGCCCGCCCTGACTGATGCCGATGGCGTTGAATCCGCGCGCCAGCTGCGGAATGGCCGCCAGCGACGCGCAGACCTCGTCGATCTGCGACGGGGACAGAAAGAGAAGGGGGAAGAGTGGTTGAAGGAGAGGGAGGGAGTGATGAAGGGGTGGGGGGAGAGAGGAGAGGGTGAGAGCACTGCACGAATGACTTTTGGCTCGTATGATTTCACATGTTGCCTAGCACGTTGACTTTGAAATGTTTTTGTTTGTCTCTTTGTTTGTCTGAATAGAACGAGCATTATTGAAGCCAACTACCACTTGCTACCTGTTGGTCGATCGATCCGAAGATGGAGGAGCTTATATCGCGTATGCCGTCCTCCTTGACGCATATCGAGTGGAAAAACACGTCTGGGAGAACGCTCCGCACGGCGGCGCGCAGATAACCCACGCTTTTGTCGTTGCTGCACGAGTCGAAGAACCCGTGCCACACCACCACGGGGAGCGCGGAAGCAGGTGCGGAAGCGGAAGCGGAAGAGGCGGACGCGGAGGCGGAAGCATGCGTGCACGAGCCCTTCCCCGCAAAGGAGCCATTCCCCGCGAAAGAGCTTATGCCCGCGGAAGGGCGGTTGCTGTCGGCGGGAGCATGGGCATGATCGAGGGAGCTACGAGCATCAAGTGGGGTTCGCGCATTAACCGACTCCGTAGCGTCTAGAGGCTCGGCAGCATCGCGCGCGTCGAGAGTGTCGAGCGACTCGTTGGCGCGCGCGAGGCCGAGGAAGGCGGAGGAGGCGAGGTGGAGGTGTAGAAGGAGGAGGAGCGAGGCGGCGCGTCTTAACGGCCGGAGGAGTGCTCTTGCATGCAGTGACGCGGCGTGCTCTTTCATTCTCATGTGGGCGTGGAGGTAAGAGCGCATACGAGGGGGACTGTTTGAAAAGGTCTGCTCTGGCTGGAAACTAAACGAGGATGATCCACGTCAGCGCCTACTATATTTTCTCGACTTTCTCAATCCCATCAGAGCTCCGGCACCCGTTTATTGTAAGGAGAGGTTCGCATCGCTTCAGGCTATCAGGCTACGTTCGAGTCGTTAGGTATCGAAAGCTGGAACAAGGTGTGGAATAGTAAGACTCGCGAAGTGGCATGGCTTCGAGTTATGAGAGGAGTGCAATGACGAGGACTAACAACGCTGACACAAGCTGAATGTGGGAGGTACAGAAGCGAGAAAAGGGCGGCTAGAGTAGAACTCTAAAACAGGGTGCAGATAACGCTTGACAGGCAGCATCGTAATGCTCACACATCGTACCGCGCATGTCATGTGATCGGGCCCAGGCCACACGCGTTCCAGCCCTGGGAATTGACGGCTGCTTGCTGGTCGATGGAATGGAGCTGAGAAATTAGGGATGATTCTAGATCGAGTTGACTCTAACATCTCGTATCGAAGAGACTGGCGACTGGGCGACAGATTGCGCTGCCGAGTCGCCAAAACTACACGTCAGCATAGCGAGGAGGACGCCACGAACAGGGAGCGAGGCTGGAACGAGTGCGCGACAGGGGTCAATCGAACAATGGAATGTAATGCATTGCAACCTGTGTGCAAAGCAAACCGACTGGAAGAAGGCCCGAAGGCATGAATCACATGACATCATGACTCGCTTGGCGTAGCAGATGGGATGCAGCGAAGGGGTGAATGGTTGTCATAGACGGGGTGCAGTTAAAACCCGCAGGCCAAGAATTTCAACCTTAGGAAGGTTGGTTGGGAGTCAAAACGCAAAAGGCCTGCGAACCAATAGGAGTGTCCGAAATGTTGGACGAGGTCTAGAATTCGGGAATGATCACATGCATTTTTGGGACATCCAACCAACGCTAGGAAGGATGAACCAAATTTGGCCTTCTTGGCCTGCGGGTTTTAAGCAAGTAGTTGCGCTCTCGTCGCTTGCTCAGAACAAGCATGATCCAGGGCGTGGCTTGTTAAATACGGTTCCGAGGTTTGTTATACGGTTATATAGTGCTATATCATGATCTTGACACGCCTTGGAAAGTGAGGGGATTTGTGCTTGCTGGACATTGTCACATGCCGGGCAGGCCAACCAAGCCACACCTGCCTCGACTTGCCCAGCCAATTTTCACTGTCCATGTCCTCGAGACTCTTTGAAATATTCTTCTGGCGCCCAAAGTTTTCCCTTCAGCCCTTGTAAAACTTCCCACCAGGCCTATTTCGATACCAAACCAACCAACTTCTCGCCCCTTCTACCAAACGACGAGCCTCGGTTTTTTCTTCGACACGTCGCCATGTGTCCAGTAGTAACGCTGCCGAGCCATCCTTCAGACCGCGCCGAAAGCCAAAGACGAACCATCAAGCGAAACGGTGCCAGCAAAGCCTCGCCTCATTGGGCGATCATCTATGGGACCTGATCGCGACCAGCCGAGATCAGCGATGAGCCGTTCGATGAGGCCAGCTTTCTGAAAGCTGACAGTGTGGAAGCGCACAGAGGGGACAAATTTCAAATGATGTGGAAGCTCGATACAAGAGCCCGTTTCAATTCAATCATATTCGTAGCCGCGGCTTCAATGGATCACAAATTCGGTGGAAGCACAGTGGAGCCGCCAGTGACACAATCGAAGGACAAATTCTGAAACACCATGTTCAACTCACAGCCTCGCCCTTCACATGAATCACTTTAAATCTGATATTCCACAGGGACACAGCTGCCGTACAGCATCACCTCCACTCCACCCTGTGACAACATATATTAGCTTTTATCCATCTTTTCTAATTTACCTGTTGATCCTATCTAAATAGCCTTTGTTCCTGGCTTGCCTTTTCATGCAAATCATATCATGCGGACATCATAAATCCTAGCATATAAAACTATATCAAATGAGCTACAGATTGAACTCAGCAACTTCCTTCTCAAATGCTCCATACATTTCCCGTTATAAAATCCTAACATCGTGTGTCACTAGATCAAGGGGCGGTTTACACCTTGAACTCAACAATTTCCTTCTCAGGCGCTCCAGGGAATTTCTGCAAAAATCATGACCGGACAAGGTATGAGCAGGGTGCCGGGGTGGGAAGGAACGACTTATAGGCAAAGCGTGCATAATGCGGTGGCAGTGAGAGGGAGTATGTTTGTGGTATGTGTGAGGAGGGGAGATGGGGAATGAAAATACGAAGTACTTACCCACGTTTTGCACCACACCCACCTTTTGCGCATCAATGGCAGAGAAAACCTTCCCCTCCGCCTTCTCCTGAAAGAGAATGCGCAAAATCTGATGGCGGGGTGGTGGGCGCAGGTACAAGGAGGGATGTTGCAGTGACGAGCACATGTACAGAGATGGATATAAGTGAGACTGGTGAACGATGTTTCTCATTGGTATTGAATGAGTTGGGCATGTGTCTCATTGGTATTGAATGAGTTGGGCATGGGTGGGACTACATATAAACCTCATACATCCTCGGGCAGGACATGGTAGAGTTCAGCAACTAGGTAGCGACTCACGGGCTGCGCCACATCAGCAACGGAGGTGAGGTGACAGCAGGGCGGTGAGGTGACTCACCAGTTGTGCCACGTCAGCACGGGAGATGACCCCCACCACGCTGCTGTCCTCTGTGAGAATGCCCGAGCCACTGGCTGCCTGGAGGAGAGGAGTACGAGGGGGGGGGGGTGGGAGGCGGGGTTTGGTGATACTGAGTATTTACCGGGCCCATCCCCTCTGTGAGAATGCCTGAGCCAGTGGCAGCCTGGAGGGATGGTTGTGTGGGGGGGGGAGTGGGTAGGAGGTGGAGGGTGGGAGGTGGGGGTTGGTGAGGTTGTGGTTTGAGATGCACAGTGGGTGGAAATAGGAACATCGAGCTGACAGCTGTCAGCAGGCTTAGATCTGAGAGCACTGCACCTCTCCCCTCTCCCCCTATGCATAACAGCAGGCTTACATCTGACAGCAGTCCCCCTGATCGGACGAGGGTCAACTTGAGCTTCTCGCTCGCCTGGTCGCCTTGAGCCTCTCCTCTCCTCTCCTGCTCTTATTATACCCGCCTCTCCCATAAAGCATCAGACATCTGAGAGAAGGCTCACATCTGAGAGAAGGCTCACATCTGAGAGAAGGCTCACATCTGAGAGAAGGCTCACATCTGAGAGCAGGCTCACATCTGAGAGCAGGCTCACATCTGAGAGCAGGCTCACATCTGAGAGCAGGCTCACATCTGAGAGCAGGCTCACATCTGAGAGCAGGCTCACATCTGAGAGCAGGCTCACATCTGAGAGCAGGCTCACATCTGAGAGCAGGCTCACATCTGAGAGCAGGCTCACATCTGAGAGAAGGCTCATCTGAGAGCAGGCTCACATCTGAGAGCAGGCTCACATCTGAGAGCAGGCTCACATCTGAGAGCAGGCTCACATCTGAGAGCAGGCTCACATCTGAGAGCAGGCTCACATCTGAGAGCAGGCTCACATCTGAGAGCAGGCTCACATGTGAGAGAAGCCCTGCACCCATCTCCTCGCCCCTTACATCTGAGAGAAGCCCTCCTGGGCGAACAATGGTCCACTTGAGCTTATCGCTCGCCTTGAGTCGCTCCTCACTCTTCTCCTTCTCCGCCAGCACCGGCCCCAGCACGTCCATCTCCTTCCCAGGGACCGCTGCCTTGCTATCGCCCGCTCCTATGCTCGACACCTGGGGGAGGCGAGCAGGGGAGACGTGAGCAGGAGAGGAGAGAAAGCAACTTAGGTGAGGATGGGGTTGGGTTGCTCCTCGCTCTTCTCCTTCTCTGCCAGCACTGGCTCCAGCACGTCCATTTCCTTGCCTGGCACTGCTGCCTTGCTGTCGCCCGCTCCTATGCTCGACACCTGGGAGATCGAGCAGGGAGAGGGGAAGAGAGACAGAGAAGAGAAAGATAGCACAAAGGAGGATGAGAACAAGGGGTTGCTCCCGATGCAAGCATAAGCACTGGCCCCAGTACTTCCATCTCATTACCTTGCCACGATAAGCACTGGTCCCAGGCAGTTCCTGGCCCCAGTACTTCCCGAAGCAAGCATAAGCACTGGCCCCAGTACTTCCCGAAGCAAGCATAAGCACTGGCCCAGTACTTCCCGAAGCAAGCATAAGCACTGGCCCCAGTACTTCCCGAAGCAAGCATAAGCACTGGCCCCAGTACTTCCCGAAGCAAGCATAAGCACTGGCCCCAGTACTTCCCGAAGCAAGCATAAGCACTGGCCCCAGTACTTCCCGAAGCAAGCATAAGCACTATGTGGAGAAAGACGCTGGGGCAGCCCTGCGTCCTGCGTCCGGACGCAGCGTCCGGATGCAAAGACGCAGGACGCGCGTCCGGACGCAGGACGCACCCTGGAAATTTTTTCGGGCAGACCGAGATTTTTGTTTTTTCGCGATCGCGAAATCGACATTCGCGATTTCGTCGCGAATGTCAATTTCGCCGAAATTCGACACCCCCCAAGCAAATTCGACCCCCAAAACCAGCCATCTAATTCACCCCTAACCCCCTCCCCTTTTTGCAAAATTGATTTGGAAATCCAACCCCTCTCCACCACTCCACAACTAGGAAACCCAACCTTTGTGGTCCACCACCCCCACAAAGCCCATTTAGTTCATGAAACCTCTCATTTGTGCTCCCTTTTCTCACAACCCAATTCTCTTTCAAAAACCCTAGTGGTTTTAGCTCCTTTCCGCGCACCACCGTTATGGCTAGCTCCTTGTGTTCGCGACCTTGTGTTCGTTGCGCACAACTGGAACGTTGTGCACAACCACCACAAGGGTGCGGCGGGTGCGGGGCCGAGTGGGGAAGTCAGGAAGGCGGGAATAGTGGAGGGGAACATTCCCCCCCGACCCCTTCCCGAGGGGTACAAGCTTGAGGAGGATGGAGAGGTGGAGGTGGATGAGGATGACCTCACCTTCGACGAGTACAAGGAGCAGGAGGATTTGGAGAAGGAGGAGGAGAAGGGGATGGAGAGCGAGGAGGATGAGTGATGCATGTTAGTTAGTGGTAGTATGCATGCATGCTAAACAACCCTTGGACTAATTGTGATTATGGAAATTTGGGGCTCACCTTCATGTTCTATTGTTGTGGCTGAAATTTTGTTGTTGAGGAGAAATTTTGCTATGAAAGTGTGTTCCCCCCCCCCCCCCCCACCCCCCCTCTTACCCCCTCTTCCCTCTGCCCTATAACTTTTTTTTTGGCTGCCCGGGGGGGTTTTTTTGGCTGCCCGGACCTGCGTCTTTTGCTGCGTCTCGGGGGCCCTAAACTAGCGTCCAGCGTCTGGACGCATGCGTCCAGGACGCTGGACGCGTCTTTCTCCACATAGCATAAGCACTGGCCCCAGTACTTTCCGATGCAAGCATGAGCACTGGCCCCAGTACTTCCATCTCATTACCCACCACAACTGCCTGGCTTGCAATCACCTGTCACGATATCAGCCTTCTCCCCTCTCCACTCCTTCTCTCCTTCTCTCCTTCTCTCTCTCCACTCCCCAAAAACCCCCTTCCCTTTACCCTCGCTGTCAAAACAACAACTCACAAGAAAGAACGAAGCACGAAACACCCCCCCACCCCTGATTTCCTCCTCCTCCCTCCCCTCCTCCCACCCATCCTTCTTCTTCACCCCTTCCCTCATTTCCCCTTTCCACTCCAGCAAACCAACTCACAAGGACAAAGCGGGGAACCCCAGCCTTCTCAGCTGCTGCAATGACATTAATGTTGCCGTCCTGTTGGTTGGAGGGTGAAAAAGGGAGGTGGAATAGCGGGAAGGTAATAAAGCCCCCTGAGGCGCCTAAGAAAAACTTAGTTGCCTCTGAAAGGAGGTGGAAGAGACACGGAGGAAGGGAATAAAGCAAGAGAAAAGGAAGGGGGGAGGGGCAAAGGATGGGCAATAACGAAGCTGTAATGAACGCATCCAAAAACGCATCCCAGTAACCCAGCCCATATCACAATGCAGTACCACACTCTTCTGAATGCAGCAACGCATGTCACTTACCGAGTCCACCTTGATGTCTGTAAGACCCCCTCCTGCACAAAGTAACACACAAACAGATTGATATAGTAAGTCACACATGTTGCCACACACACACACACACACACACACACACACACACACACGCACGCACGCACGCGCGCCATGCCCACTCCCCACAACTCACCAACAGTGGACAAGACAGCATCAAAAGGTGCTACCCCTCAGCCCCATCACATCCCCTCAGCCCCATCACATCCCCTCTCCCCAACGTCCCCCCCTGACCCTACATCTCTCAAACAAACATACGCCCACTCCCTGCTGCCTCCCACCAACAGTGGACACGACATCATTCTAGGTGTTATCCCTGAGCGCCTTCAAAATCGTGCCAGCCAGGGGCCTCCCCATGACTCACCAACAGTGGACACGACATCATTCAAGCGGTTTCATTTGAGCTCATTTTCTTTCATGCCAGGTGCTCAAATGAAACAGCCATCAACAACCTTCTCAACAGCCCCTTCAACAGCCCACATCGCCCCCAACCCCTCAATTTTCCCTGCTGCAACAGACACGCAACAACACACTCACACTCATGCACACGTTCACACACTCACTCCGCCCTGAGTAGGCCCATGGCTCACCAACGGTAGACACGACAGCATCAAACGTGTTTCCTCTCAGAGCCTTCTCAAGGCGCCACAGATACATTTTTTAGTCGACTCAAAAATCGACTTATCACACGAGTCGACTCAAAAGCCGACTTATCACACGAGTCGACTCAAAAATCGACTTATCACACGAGCCATCACGTCTCCAACAGCCAGCATCGCCCCCAGCCCCTCAATCTCCCCTGCTTAGCAGCATGACACACACACTCAAGGCCACACACTATTGACCACACTCATCCCCAACCGCCAGCATGCCTCCCAGCCCCTCAATCTCCTTCTAGAACTTCTCCTCCCTCTGCAGCGCTGTCACCCACGCCAAGCACACTCGCTCTTTTGAGACGTCTCAAAAGACTTCTCCCCCTTCTGCAGCGCTGTCACCCACGGGCCCCATGACTCACCAACGGTAGAGACGACAGCATCAAAGGTGTTCCCTCTGAGCGCCTTCTCGATGGTTCCAGGCGCCATCACGTCCCCGATGGCCAGCATGGCCCCCAGCCCCTCAATCTCCTTGCGGAACTTCTCCCCCCTCTGCAGCGCTGTCACCCACGAGCCTGCCTTGGCCAGCTGCCTCACCACCTCCATCCCCACTCCGCCACCACCCACCACGAGCACTGGGAGAAGCAATTAGGGGCGAGATGAGAAGGGGAGAGTGTGTGAGAGGCGTGGGAATGGCAATGAAAGACATTTACCCCCCTCTGCAGCGCTGTCACCCACGAGCCCGCCTTGGCCAGCTGCCTCACCATCTCCATGCCCACGCCCCCTCCGCCCACCACAAGCATTGAAAGGATGGAGTATCAAGAAAGCGAAAATTGTGGGGAATGAGGGGCGAGAGACGGGGGGGAGAGTGTGTGAGAGGCGAGGATACTGCATCAACAACTACTCTTCCCTCTGCACCGCTGTCACCAACAAGCCTGCCTTGGCCAGCTGCCTCACCACCCATTCCCACTCACGCACAGTGAGAGAGGGGCGAGATGGAAGGGGACAGCGCGGGACTTAGGGGTGAGATAGGTGGAGAGGGTGTGTGGGTCTGACACCACCTCTCGCCTGGATATCCCTCACCCTGTCCCGCCCCTCTACCCTAAACCCGCCCTCTGGTTTTCCACTTTGTCAAAACTAGACAAGGCAACTCAAATCTCAACGGTCGAGTTGCCACTGGTCACCAGCTTTTCTGCCCTTCCCTCACCCTCCCTGTTCCGCATCCACCCGATCATACCCTAAACCCGCCCTCTGAGTACCTTCCAAATTGGACACGAGTATCCGGATCTCACCGGTCGAGTTGTCAATGGTAACCGGCTCCTCCTCTTTTCCTTCCTTCTCCCCTTCCCTCGCCCTCCCTCTTCCGCATCCACCCAATCATACCCTAACTCCAGTTTTGAGACGTCTCAATACCCGAACTCCTTCCTCTAGTCATCTCGGAACTAGTTTTGAGACGTCTCAATACCCTAACTCCTTCCTCTGGTCATCTCGGAACTTCACAAGACAAGGCCATCCAAATCTCACCAGTCGAGTTGTCAATGGTCACTGGCTCATCTGCCTTTCCCTCCTTCCCTTCTTCCCTTCGACCTCTTACCCCATCCACCCTAAGAGCGCCCTTTAAGTACCTTCCAAACAAGAACACGAGCACCCGGATCTCACCGGTCTAGTTCTCAATGGTCACCGGCTCCTCTTCTTCCCCTCCTCCCCTTCCATCGTACCAAAATACGCCTCTGGTTACCGCTCAACACAAGACACAGTTACCCGGATCTCACCGTTCGAGTTGTCAATGGTCACGGGCTCTTCTGCCTTCCCCTTCTCCCCTCTCATATCATAGTATCATAAACACGCTCTCTGGTTATCATGTAACAGTAGACCCGATTACCCGGATCTCACCGTTCGAGTTGTCAATGGTCACGGGCTCTTCTGCCTCCGCGGACGCACGTGGCGTCACCGCGTTAGCTCTCCTCACGACCCCGCGCCGTGAAGTGCTCGCGCTGCGGGACACGGGGCTGCTGGCTGTGGTCGGGTCGGGGAAGGAGGCGGAGCAGGCGGAAGAGGCGGAAGCAGAGGAGGCGTACGGAAGGGGAGCATGCGGAAGAGGAGAAGGCGGAGGGAGGTGGAGAGGGAAGCAGGGTGCGGAGAAGGAGAGGCAAGCGGAAACAGGGAGGGGACGGGAGAAAAACGCGTTAAGGCCAAACAATGGCGCGCGTGAGGCATCACGGAACGAGAGGGGTAGATACGATCGCATGGCCACGTAAACGCATAACCACGTGAACACACCGCCACGTAAACGAATGGCCACGTAGACACATGGCCCTTGCAGAGGAATGGCTGGAATGAACGAACTGAAAAGCCACCGGCAACTTCACGGTGATAAGAGACGCCTGGGTAGTTAGGAAAACGGACTCACCGGAGAGACCAGCGACTCTGGAGGGGAAAAGAGCCGCTGCTGAGGAGATCCGTTCGGCACGAACGCTGCCATTGCCTGCGAAGGAGCAGCGGATAGATTGAAGGGAGTCTTATTTTCCAAGAACGACCAAAACATTGGAGGGAGCCTTACTTTCGTGCCCAGTGCGGGTGGAATCCTTATACATCTTTCTAGATATGGAAGATGCATGTGCCAGAGCCGAACGTGTATGAATAAGGTGCGAGGATTCTAGAACGGCGACATCTCCTCATGTTCCTACTTTCAATACAATAATATACTAAACAGACGAGACCGGGAAACGGATACGCGAATCTTGTGCATGGACAGGCTCCATAGACCAGAGCAATCGGACTTGCCATCTAGCATTGCCTTACTTTGAAGCGCAACTGCGGCCTGAGCAACGGAAGCTGAGAGAGTTGAAGCGGCCATTTGACAGAATTTGTCAGAACCTCGAAATGGTCCTGAATGTGTGGAAGATGAAAGGAGTACGTTCAGAAAAGCTAGCCTCTCAAATTAGGTTCTGAAAATGGAAACCAGTGAGGCTATGTCCCTCATGGTAAGGCTGGTCTGAAAACATGGTAGGAAGTGAGCACGCTGAATGCGTATTCAAACATGCCGAGTTGGGGTTCTTCTGGCATACAAATTTGGTGATCTGCATTTGAAACACAAGCGTACTACGAAGCAACCAGGCTCCTTCAGCTACATGTTTTTTCGGCCTAGCCTTGAAACCAGCTCCAACAATCTGTTCACAAAAATGCAACCAGGACACGAAGGCTTCAGAACTGGTGTGTGAATACTTCCCTTAGATTTCGGCTGTTAATTCAGCGGGGAATCCGAGGCATGTTACGAATTGTCTTGGTGGAAAACGAATTGAAGTGATTGCGGGATCCCCCCGAGATCCACACGTCATTCGATGCACACGTCACCTTGCCTTTGATTGGTGGTCAATCCTAAACCACATGTGGCGTCGAGGGATAATGACCCTCCATTGAACGACGCGTTTTACTCCTTCGAAAGCAGTATAGTTTCTTTCATTCCTAACCTTTAAGTCAGTACAGCTAAGATTTCTTGCAATGGTTAGCCAAATCATACCCTAAAAGGGTTTCTCCCCTGCAGCCCATCTAGAGAAATCTACCTTTTTACTCAGGCTGTCTCGGTGAAGCAATATATCTTTCTCAAAGCCCCGACCACCTCCACAAGAAATGGAGCCAGCAAGGAAAACATCTGACCGTGCGCAGATCAGCTTGTCTAAAATGGCCACAATGCCTGCCAAAATATTCAACAAACACAAACGCTGTGAAATGTTGCAGCCACCTAAGGACCGACTGGATATCAACAGATTTGCAAAAAGGTAGTCATCAAAGTGCAAAAAAGGAAGTTTGAGACGCACCTGGGTCAAGGCTATTTGCCGATGGCATAAGCTCGTCAATCATGACAGTCCCTTCGACTTTCTCTCGCAGCCAGGACAGCCAATAGTGAGGCACGTCCGACACATTATTATCTCCAAACGCCCATTTTAGAGCGTCCCATGACTCTGACCGAGGCGTAACGCCGGATTGATTGTACGGAATATCGGCTGCCAGGAAGACGGTCGATGCGTTAAGCCTCTTTTTCACTTTATTTATTTTATGGGCGGCTTCTCGGGTGCACCATTTGGTGCGATCCTTGAGAATCTTCAGCCTCTCTTCGACTTGGATGTCGGTTCTGTTTTCACCTGCCTGGTGATGGCAATAGTGATGGTGATGGTGATGGTGATGGCGATGGCGATGGCGATGGCGATGGCGATGGCGATGGCGATGGCGATGGCGATGGCGATGGCGATGGCGATGGGGATGGGGATGGGGATGGGGATGGGGATGGGGATGGGGATGGTGATGGTGATGGTGATGGTGATGGTGATGGTGATGGTGATGGTGATGGTGATGGGGATGGTGATTGGGATGGGGATGGGGATGGTGATGGTGATGGTGATGGTGATGGTGATGGTGATGGTGATGGTGATGGTGATGGTGATGGTGATGGCGATGGGGATGGCGATGGGGATGGGGATGGGGATGGGGATGGGGATGGAGATGGGGATGGGGATGGGGATGGTGATGGTGATGGTGATGGTGATGGTGATGGGGATGGGGATGGGGATGGTGATGGTGATGGGGATGGTGATGGGGATGGTGATAGTGATGGTGAGTGGATGTTGCAAAGGAAGAAATCCCCACATCGAAAGACAGTGACAGTAAGCCATGCACTGAAAAAAAAAACACACCAACACATACACAAAGAAGGTGGAACCAAGATCATGGAAACTCTCCCTCTCAAGAGGAGACAAAGGAGGGAACAAGCCTCTCTAGCATCCGTATGGCTTTTGAGGCGCCCAAGAAGTGACATATGGGAAGCATACCAGGCGGAAGGCAATGAACTCGGAGCGGTAGTGCACGCCAATGAACGGCTCGGGCAGGCGGGCCACGATACGCTTGGCAGCGAGGTGCCACTCTCGAGCATACGGCAGCAAAACATGCGCCATGTCATCCGTTTCCCGGTCGAAACGCTCGTATGTGTTCTTGGCGTATATCACCACATCCCTGTGCTTCCTGCAAGGCGGAGGAGAGGGAAGGGGGGGGGGAAGGAGGAGCGGGGGGAAGAAACGGGAAAAAGGGGAAGGGAGGGCAATGGGGAGAGCCTGAGAGGGGAGACGAGAGATGGGGCCACTCGTGAGCATACGGCAGCAAAGCATGCGCCTTGTCTATAGCAACTGGCAGCTGCCGATGCTGCCCTGCCCAAGCAGGTGAGACGAGAGACGAGAGACCAGGCCACTCGCGGGCATACAGCAGCACTGCATGCGCCTTGTTGCCCGTCTTGGAATCAGAACGCTCGTATGTGTTCTTGGCGTATACCACCACGTCCCTGTGCTTCCTCAGTGGGATGAATGTAGATGAGAGAAGCGGCTAGATGTGTTCTTGGCATATATCACCACATCCCTGTGCTTCCTGCGAAGGCATTTAGGGAGAGGATGAGGGGGGAGAGGGATGGAGGGAGGGAGGATGAGGGGGGAGAGGGATGGAGGGAGGGAGGATGAGGGGGGAGAGGGAGCAATGGAAGACGAGCGAACGATTGGAGGATGCTGCATGTGTAGCATGAGGAAGACGATCAAAACGCTCGTATGTGTTCTTGGCGTATATCACCATATCCCTGTGCTTTCTGCAGAGGGGGGTGGAGAAGAAGCAAGAGAAGAGAATGGCTCGTGGCAGGCATGCGTGGGAGGACAGGAACAGGTGTGTGTGAGAAATTGACTGTCGGGGTGACTTTTGAGTCAACTCAAAAGTCACCTAGAAGCAAGAAAAGAGAACGGCTCGTGGCAGGCGTGCGTGGGAGGACAGGTGTGTGTGGGAGGACAGGTGTGTGTGTGAGGACAGGTGTGTGTGGGAGGACATGTGTGTGGGAGGACAGGTGTGTGTGGGACGACAGGTGTGTGTGGGACGATAGGAACAGAACAGGTGTGTAAGACATTGACTGTAGAGGTGACTTTTGAGTCGAGAACCTCTCGTGGCAGACATGCGTGGGAGGACAGGCAGGTGTGTGTGTGTGTGAGACATTGACTGTCTCCCGCTCAAGCAGTCATGTGTGTTCTTCTTGGGGAATGAGGTGATGAGACATGAGTATTCCACTCCAGCTCACCCTTTCCCACTACCATCTCACCATGCATTGAGCAGGGACTGTATCTGGTCGAAGCGGGCAGGCATGTGCAGCCAGATGGTGTTGGCCCCGGTGGGCACATGCCCCATGGCCAGCGTGAACACCGCCCCCAGACTTCCCGCAATCTCCGCTGCTCATGGGGAGTCAAGAGAGAAGAAACAGTGGTGGGGAATGGTGTGAGGGGACAAAGGTGGGGGAACGAGAAGCAATGTTGCCCCCAGAGGGTACATGCCCCATGGCCAGTGTGAACACAGATCCGAGACTCCCAGCAATCTCCGCTGCTCATGGGGCAAGGTAACCAAATATAGACGATTGCAAGTTCTGTAAAGGTACTGTCTGTCACGTGACTGACAGCACAACAACGGAACGTAATGTAGTAGTGCATTCATGGTATTGCTCACATTATCGAGCACAGAATTGTTAACACACACACATACGCGTGCGCGCGCGCACACACACACACACAAAGGCAGCTCTTGAAACGCTCGCATCCGTACTATTTTTCCCCCCTCTCCCTACCACGAATGCTCACTTGTGCCAAAGCAGGGCCGACCAAGCTCGGGAGTGTCAACGCAGAGGTAGCTGACGGTGGGCTGGGAAAAGGCAGCTCTTACAACAAGTTCACATCTGTGCTAATTTCCTCTTCCCTTCCACTTCTACAAATTCTCACTTGTGCCAAAGCAGGGCCGACCGAGCTCGGGAGTGTCAACGCAGAGGTAGCTGACGGTGGGTTGGGAAAAGGCAGCTCTTACAACAAGCTCACATCTGTGCTAATTTCCTCTTCCCTTCCACTTCTACAAATTCTCACTTGTGCCAAAGCAGGGCCGACCAAGCTCGGGAGTGTCAACGCAGAGGTAGCTGACGGTGGGTTGGGAAAAGGCAGCTCTTACAACAAGCTCACATCTGTGCTAATTTCCTCTTCCCTTCCACTTCTACAAATGCTTGTGCCAAAGCAGGGCCGACCAAGCTCGGGAGTGTCAACGCAGAGGTAGCTGACGGTGGGTTGGGAAAAGGCAGCTCTTACAACAAGCTCACATCTGTGCTAATTTCCTCTTCCCTTCCACTTCTACAAATGCTCACTTGTGCCAAAGCAGGGCCGACCAAGCTCGGGAGTGTCAACACAGAGGTAGCTGACGGTGGGTTTGACAAAAGCAGCCTTGAACAGACTAGCATCGATCGAGCAACCGTCAAGGCCTTGACTCACTTGTGCCGAAGCAGGGCCGGCCGAGCTCAGGAGTGTCGACACAGAGGTAGCTGACGGTGGGTTGGGAGAAGGCAGGCCTTGAAACGACTACAATTGTGCTCTCTTCCTGGCCTTGACTCACTTGTGCCAAAGCAGGGCCGGCCGAGCTCGGGAGTGTCGACGCAGAGGTAGCTGACGGTGGGCTTGACGAAAGCAGCCCGGGCGAGGAGGAGGAAGAACTCGGGGGAGACCCACTCGGTGGCGTTGAGATGAGCCAAGTCGCAGTAGGCACACATGGGCATGGATCGACCCAGCGACAGATGGCTGCGGGACCCCTGAGAGGACGAATGGGTTGAGTAGGTTAGAAGTACACATATGAGCAGCATATCATGCAAAGCCTGCAAGTCGCAGTAGGCACACATGGGCATGGATCGACCCAGCGACAGATGGCTGTGGGACCCCTGAGAAGGAGCGGGTGGGGGGGGTACGGAGGGAGAAAGGGAGGGAGGGAGGGAGGGAGGGAGGGAGGGAGGGAGGGAGGGAGGGAGGGAGGGAGGGAGGGAGGGAGGGAGGGAGGGAGGGAGGGAGGGAGGGAGGGAGGGAGGGAGGGAGGGAGGGAGCGAGGGAGGGAGGGAGGGAGGGAGGGAGGGAGGGAGGGAGGGAGGGAGGGAGGGAGGGAGGGAGGGAGGGAAGGAGGGAGGGAGGGAGGGTTTGCAACGGCTGCAAGTCGCAGTAGGCACACATGGGCATGGATCAACCTAGCGACAGATGGCTGTGGGACCCCTGAGAGGAAAAAAAGGCAGGGGGTGAAGAGGGGGGGAAGAGCAGGGGGGCGGGCTCAAGGTTTGGAATATAGGGCCTTGCCGAACCTCGGCTCAAGCCAAGCCAAGCTGGCTTGGGGAGAACAGGTCCGGCAGCTCACCTCACCAGCTTTGTTGGCTCGCGAGCGAGCTTTGCTTCTGGGAGAGGGAGGGAGGGACTGAGATGGGAATAAGCAACGGGAGCAACGGCACGTGTCTCTTTGGCCACCCGTGCCGCCTCAATGACATGACATAGATGGACCTTGGCGTTGGTGAGTTGGTCTGCTCCTGGCGACCATGGTCATGGTGGTGAGGAAACAGCAGGCGAGCGATAAAAGAGTCATAGGCGTACTGTACGGTACCTACCTTGGGCAGCACGAGGATGCGGTTGGTCTCTCTGGCGACCCGTGCGGCCTCAATGACATGGATCTTGGCGTTGGTGAGCTGCTCCTCCACCGCTGCAAACACCAGATACCTGCGATTGGCGAAGTCCTGCGTTGCACAAAAAACAAAAACACACACACGCGCGCGCGCACGCAACCACACACGCACGCATGCACGCACGCACGCACGCATGCACGCACGCACGCACACACACGCACACACACACACACACACACGCACGCACGCACGCACACGCGCACACAATAACATTAACAAAAACAAAGACGAAGAGGGGAAGGGAATGGGGGGGTTAGTAGGTTGCTAGGGAGGAGAGGGGGTTGTCAAGAGATGCATGACATGCAGTCACAGCGAGGAAACGCTTTTGAGTCGACTAAAAAGTAGGTTTCTAGGGAGGAGAGGGGGTTGTCAAGAGATGCATGACATGCAGTCACAGCAAGGAAACGGAGGAAGAAGCGTGGGGGAGGGAGGGAGGGAGGGAGGGAGGGAGGGAGGGAGGGTAGCTTTTGTAGACATGGTTCAAGGAAGTGAATGAAATGCACTCACAGAGAGATGGGAAAACGGCATGCCAGGCACAGGCCAGCATGCCTCAGGCCAGTGGTTGCACGGACTGTCTGGGTCACTCGGACTGCTGCCGCTGCTATTGCTATCATTCCCGCTGCTGCCACTGCTGCTGCTGCCGCTACCGCTGCTGCTGCTTCCAGAGTAGTTCTTCCCCATCAGCCGTTCAACGTCCTCCACCTTATTGCAAATCGAGTCCACGCCAGCTGAAATACTCTCCAAAGACACCCGCTCTTTCTTAAACGCGCGAGTCAGGAAGTGGCTGCCAGGCACGCGGTCCAAAAGGCCCTGCTTCCACGCTCGGCTGCACACCAGACCCACGTCCCCCTGCTGCTGCTGCTCCTCCACCTCGTCGCGGCTCAACGGTCGCTTCTGCTGGATTGCAATTGGGTTCAGTGAACCTGAACCTGAATCTGAACCTGAACCTGAACCTGAATCTGAACCTGATTCTGAACCTGAATCTGAACCTGAATCTAAACCTGAACCTGAACCTGGACCCGAAGCGGGTTCTTGAGCTGCGGTAAGTGCTCGCTGCGATGCCTGATAAGCTAGGTTCTGCATGTCTTGGCATAAGGTAACGCTGCACTCCGTGAGCTGAATCGGCGTGAACTTCGTTTTCGCGCCAGGGAGCCTGGCTGCTGATTTCAGGACCTTAATGCATGATTCTGATATATTAAAAGCTGCACCTAGGGAAGTCCGGTTGACATTTGCTACCGTCGGATCGTCGCCACTCGCCGTCAGTAACCGGCGGAGATTCGCTCCAGGAAACCCGCTGAAAATCCCACCGTAGATTAAGCAGCAGACGAAGATTCCGAGCAGGATGACTGGGAGTAAAACGGATCGTATTGAACGCTGAACGGCCATTGATTGCGATCCAGCCAGCCACGGTCGCCGTCGGCAGAATTTGCTTGGCGACTCTCCGAGAGCGGACGACGGGCGAAAGAAGGCGTCTCGTTTATTTGAGAAGCTGATTTCATCCAGGTCGGACGGGTCCGACGGGTGCGACGGGTGCGACGACCGATTGTACGTCGTCGGCTTTTGAGTCGACGCAAAAGCTGGCGGACTTGAGAAGCTGATTTCGTCCAGGTCCGACGGGTGCGATGGCCGATTGTACGTTGTCGACATGGCCCGCAGCCAAGACGCGATCACATGGGTACGACGGTCGAAATGCAACGATTGAACTTTCGCCACGAGGCAACGTTTTCCGACGTGGCAGTCCCTATTCCGTACAAAAACCTACTTTCTGGTGCCGGCTAAAGGTATTGTCGTCGTGTTTTACTCCAGCTGGAAAAAAACAAATCTTGTCATCGTGTTAAACTCCCGCTAAAAAAGGCTTTTCATGGCATCTTGTGTCTACGTTTCACACCATGCGTGCGTCGAGTTTATCTTCTCAACGAAATTGCTTTTGGTGATTTCTAAATCCACCTTACAGTATAGACCTCTGAAGTACAATGCCTTCCTAGCCGCATCCTATCCGACTATAAGTCTACGGGGTCGAGACGTCTTCAACGCGAAGTAGTCGACTGAGCATCAACTTTCTGCAAGGCGCGCGACCGGACACAAAACGAATCGCTACCTCATCTGTCATCCCGTTCCTATGTCAGCAACCTGAGTGAGAACCGGAAAATCTGTCAGCCATTACTGAATGTTGAGCTTCTGGAAGGAAATCCAGTGTCCAGCGAAACGGTAAGTAATGCGATACTGCACGTTTTAAAACGGTACAGCGCGATTGATTTTAAACTGCTGTGATAAGTTGAGTTCAGTACACTAACACTGTAGTCGCGAGTCGTTGAAAGGCTTGCGAACAGACAAGTCACGATGACACGACAATTCACGACACGAGGGTGTAGTTAAACGGCAACAACTCAACCCAACCCAACCCAGGCACGCAGCTGCCGATTTACAGGGTGCTCGAAGCGGGTTGATGAGGCCGTACAGGTACGTCCCTACCTGTCATGGACGCAACATTTATAAACAAAGCAGCTCACGAATAAAAAGGAAAACACATATATAATGTATCTGTTACGAGTGCAATTGGGTGAAGGAACAAAGATTGCATTATCTAAGCAAACAGTCCATTGATCGAAGGCATTAGCGAATGCTTAAATAGCGAACAAGCGTGGTAATGGTTACTAGCGAATTGTGGGGTGCGCGACGCAGGCCCCACGATATCAGGGTAAAACATCCTGATTACCCTGATTTCAGGATAGTGTCAGGTGTTTTCCCTGCAATTTCAGGATGATGGTATATTTTACCCTGTCACTTCAGGATATTTTTTGTGTTGAGCCCTGAAATTTCAGGAAGGCCGTGAGATTTTGCCCTGAAGCATCAGGACGAAGGTAGAGGGCTGCCCTGACGCGTATGCAGAAGGGGAAGGGGTGTGAGGGTTGGGGGGGGGGGGGGATGAGGGAGAGGGGGGAAAGGGGCGGGGGGGGTGTGTGTACTGGTTTTGTCTCCTCCCGAGGATTTCGCCACTTCCTCGTCGTACCGTACCATGCATGCACCGGGCTTCCCAGTCATATCGTGCCTTCCTCTCTGTTGGAAACAAGTGAATTATAACGCTTCTGTCGTATCGAAGCTTCGACACAAAACGGAACTGACTACAGCGAAGAAGCACTCGAGACAACCAAGGCAACCGTCAGAGGTTACGCGAAGGTCAAAGGTCTCCAACCTTTGACCTGACGAAACGTACAGTGCGACAGCAAGGACACATAACTGACTCGTTACAGAGCAGTTACCCGAGCCGACACTGTATCGAACCGCAACAGCAAAAACAGTTAAAATAGATCTTTCAATATTCCTTTGTAATCATAGAAAAGCCTTGTACTTCTCTGCTATTATCAACTTATCTTATTCTCACACACTAGTACAAGGTGGTTCAAGCAACTCTGATATTACAACGCTTCCGCTATTACATTTCTACGTCAACACCCGATCTTAGTCCTGAAAGTTCCTAAGGGCTTTTCTCAGCCCAACATGGTATGAGAGCAAGGCAGGACAAGACCATTTTTTAACCTTTTACAATACAAGATATGGCAACACGGAAGGAGAGAAGCTCCTCCAACGGATCTCTCGGTACTACTTCTTAGAAGCTAGGCATGAGTGATGTCGACTATGGAGAAGGTTGGTGCAAGGAAAAATGAACCTAAGGGGTTGTACCCCACAGTGTGTACCCCACTAAGCCTACCCAAAAATATAACATAGATATGCATATGTTTGACACACCCCCATAGGCAGAGTGGGGGAGAACAGAGGGTCACAAGACCAGTCAGGAAGTGCAAAGCAAGCTCAGGGTGGATCACAACGTCACCACGCAGTCTGAGCACAAGCAAGAAGGCCACAAGGCCAGTTCACATGCAGAGATATATATGTAGCAACAACAGTACAGTGAAATCTACCTACAGGAACAAGCATGCAGGAATACATATAAATAATGGTACAAACAAAGCCTACAGCAAGTGAGGAAGAGTGGGCACAAGGCCTAACAAAGTGCAGAAACGCTGATGATCACCAGGCGGAAGTGCCTTGGTGAATATATCAGCAGTGTTGGCCCGAGTGGCCACGTAGGTAAGACGAAGCTGGCCACGCTGCTGCAACTCTCGAGCAAGAAAGTAACGGAGAGCGATGTGCTTCGTTCTGTGCTCCAGTCTGTGCTCCTGACACAAGGCAATGGCGGCCTTGTTGTCGACGTACAGCACTGGAGGAGAACGAGGCCGCTCTCCCAAGTCAGTCAGCAGGTAGGTGAGCCAGCGAAGCTCCTGTGCAGCCATGGCTGTGGCGTAGATCTCAGCCTCACAACTGGAGCCGAGAACTGAAGACGAGCGTGTAGACAGCCAAGAAACTGAACCAGAGCCAAGGCTGAAGGTGTAACCCTGTGACGACCGCTGCGTAGCCTGGTCGTCAACCCAAGAAGCGTCCGAGTGACCAGTGAGGACAACGTCTCCCCGTCCTCCAAGCACGAGCCCCATGCCCAATGTACTGCACAAGTAGCGTAGTACCCTCTTGGCAGCATCCATGTGCACCTTTCGGTGCCGACCAGGAGCCACGTAGCGAGCCAGAAGGCCAAGAGGGTGTTAGAATGTAGAACTGAACGAGAATGTGTGAAACTAGGCAGCAGGGTGATACAAGTAGGAAACCCTAGCAATGTTGTACCCCCTAAGGCTAAACCCACTATAGCCTACACAATATGAACATGTATAATGTTTGACACACCCCCATAGGCTAAGTGGGAGACAACCAGATGGTCACAAGACCAGTCAAAGCAAAGCAAAGCAAGCTCAGGGTGGATCTCAAGGAAACCACACAAATTCCGAGCACAAGCAAGTGGTCACAAGACCAGTTCACATGCAGTTTGATAATATAACAAGGGGTACAGTGATCACAACCTAACAAGAGTAAACATGCAGGTATATATATATAGAGATCACAGTACAAGCAGAGTCAAGAAGTGAGCAAGTGAGGGAGAGTAGGCACAAGGCCTAGAACAGTACAGAAACGCTGATGGTCACAAGGCTGAAGCGCCTTGGTGA